TTAAAAGGAAAATAAAAAGGACGATTACTCATCTTACTAGATAAATTGAGTATTCAAAATATTAAATCGAGCGAAGTATTTGGAATCCTTTGAGAATGTCAACAAGCTGAGGGCACAGGAAGACCAATCTAAATATTCGAAAAGTGCAACAAGTATCCACGAGTTCTCCTAAGGACCTTTGATTATATATAAAACTGGCTGGTACTGAATTTGCGTTTTTCAGTTTTGTGGCCCGTCGAGATTGGATGCGCATGCAACCTTGAGAAAACTGAGTATATGGAACAAAAACCATGCAAGTAATATGGAAACGCTTGTTTGTTTGTTTCGACAGAATTTATACAGGGATATCTTACTTAGCAGAGCTAGTTTAAAGAGAGCCCTGTTAAAAAAAACAACAAACAAAGAAATATATCCATAAACACTACTAATAATACATGAAATACAAGTCAATTAGACAATAGCATGACACAGGCTGTTTATAAGCACTTAACATGGTGCTTCCTTTTTTGTTAACCTTTTAGGCTCCTTGATTGATTTGATATCAAGGAGTAAGGCATTAAACGTATTTTTGTGCACACTATTATAATATCTAAAGCCCCATTTTGGTACTTAATTAGTAGTCTTTAAGATTGGGCCAGCCAAGAACAGTGCAATTTCAGATGTATCGATGCCCCCCGTTTAGAATTTGAGGAGTAACTTCCATTACAGCCCCCAAAACAGTAAGCAAAACAGTAAAAAAAATCTTAAATGATTAACCTAAAATGATGCTCTTATAAGCTAACTCAGAGTCTGGGGTGAGGAGACTATATGCAATGTTTTAGTATTACTTACCATTTGTTGTGGAGTAGATGTGTCACAGCAACAGCCATCATAACCCATACAACAGCAGATGGAAGACCAGATACCAACACCAAACTCAAAAATGGCAAAGATGATGATCATGGCACCCAATCCAACACTTGCTCGGCATTTATCAGCTACAGACACTGTGTGCCATGTACATCCAAATCCCGCCTCACACCTGCGTACTGTATATGTCTTATAAGAGCATGATCTCCCACCCAGCAGAAAGGCCATTCCCATGCCATAGCAAATTATCATCGTTCCAGCAAAAACAGTTCCCACAATGGAGAATGCCAAGTAGGTGCCAACCTTTAGAAAGAAAAAACACAGTTTGATATTTATGTTTTGTAATAATCATCATTATTATAAAAAGGCTGCAAACATTTTCTTAAGGCTGTCATATGTCAGCTCAGGGACAAGGGTTCTTCACTTGTTAAACTTGCAAGATTCACATTGCAAACTTCAAGTTATAAACTTTTCAAAACCTAGTTGTGGCATCAAGCCTTAGTAATACAAGGCTGTAGCCACAGTTACAGTGAGGATACTCAGACCGTGAACACTCCAAGCTTATTTTTGTTATTATTTCTGAACTTTGTATTATGTTCCAAACGCTTTAAAATAAACCACTGAGTTCATTTACACCAAGTGATCAAAATAATTCTTATTTCCAATTGCCTGACTCAATGGATGATTTACTGTACAGTAAGCATCTTTTAAATGTTGCAAAAAAACTCAAAGTGGTTGAGTGTCCTTCTCAATGTAAGATATTGATCCCTTTCTGTGGTTTGAGTGTCCTCCTCACTGTAAGATATAGACCCCTTTCTGTGGTTTGAGTGTCCTCCTCACTGTAAGATATAGACCACTTTCTGTGGTTTGAGTGTCCTCCTCACTGTAAGATATAGACACCTTTCTGTGGTTTGAGTATCCTCCTCACTGTAAGATATAAACCCCTTTTGGTGGTTGGAGTACAGTGAGTATCCTCCTCACTGTAAGATATAGACCCCTTTCTGTGGTTTGAGTGTCCTCACTGTGAGATATAGACCCCTTTCTGTGGTTTGAGTGTCCTCCTCACTGTAAGATATAGACCCCTTTCTGTGGTTTGAGTGTCCTCCTCACTGTAAGATATANCCCCTTTCTGTGGTTTGAGTGTCCTCCTCACTGTAAGATATAGACCCCTTTCTGTGGTTTGAGTGTCCTCCTCACTGTAAGATATAGACCCCTTTTAGTGATTTCCTAAACAGCTCAGTAATTAGGTTTTGATTCTTAAGTTGGTAAAATTCTTTTATTTATTGTTTTGTTTTGTTTTGTCCTTCAAATTGGCCTGCATTGGAATACACTGGGAATGTGCACATGAATTAAGGGGGGGGGGGGAATTACAGACTGAGATAACAAGGTATTCTACTTACCAAGGGTGCTTTCGGTCTTGTACTGTTTGGAATGCGCTTAGTGGCAAAGCATCCAAGAATCCCAGTCACCAAGAACTGTAAAAAGAAAATTTTACTTCTGTTATAGCATTAGTAACAAGCTTTGTATTATTCATGGTCAACTCTAAAACATGTCATCAATCAAGCTTTATTATTCATATATTTGAAAGGCATTAGAATAGCAATGTGGTATAAGAAATATACTCTGCTTTCTCCTGTGGGGGTATCAGGTTAAAATTTCTTGACTATAGAAATTGTGGCTCCGTTTCAAAGAGAACTATAACTTTTACACCAAACCAGTTTCCCGCCATTTCAATCTAGCTAACCATTTTCTTTCTGACTTAAATTGTTTTCAGTCTTTTTTCAAACATTTGGAAACATAAAAATCTGGCATAATCATAACAACTAGACCTACTGCTTGAAATCGACGATGAGGAAGGAAAAGTAGTCAATCAAATTGAATTATTAGTCCATATTTTTACTTGTGCCTAGGCTCCGCCGCACGAGTGTTAAAATGCAACGCGTAATAGTTTTTTAAATATTTTTGCTGGGATACCTGTGGTATAACAGCGATAAAATGCCTTTGTTTTTCATTGGTTTTTTTTATGTTTTTTTTTCTCTGTGACAAAATGGCAAAGTTGCAAAATAGTTACCCAGGGGTCTTCAGGAACTTACCCAAGAGACCTTTGCGGGTATCTGCTATATAGGGTTCCCGTCCATAGTCCAATCAATTATCATGTACCAGATGTCAATCAATGTCACTATGTTGTCAAGTGGTTATGAGAGGGCAGCTAGCTAGCGATGCTCCATTGCCATACTCATCAAACTCAATCTGGATCTCCAATTCCAGTTCCGGGATCCGGATTTTGACATACGTAATTAGCTTGTTGTACATTCTGGGGTTTGATATTTGCCGTTCGAAGCATTTTGATCTCCTTTAATTTTTCTTCGAAAAAATGGTGATTTATTAAAAAATATTGATAAATCATAAAATGTAGAGCAACTATGAGAGAGGTTTTGAGCAAATATTAGCCTGTATTTACGTTTTTAATGATTAATTTTGATCTTAAAGCGAGCCGTGCGAAAGTGCATGCTTTTGAAATGTCAGTTGCACCACAAGCTAATTACTTATGCCAAAATCCGGATCCCAGAACTGGATTCGGAGTTCCAGATTGAGTTTTTTGATGATTATGGCATAAACGCTCTGCCTACAAATGGCTTTACACACTGTCGTTCGAAATTTTGCAACTTATTTTTACTTCTCCTTTAGATTCTAAGGGACTCTGATACTAGTAAACCGTCCCAACCAGGGTCTGGACATGTGAAATAGATGCCGAAAAAGATCTTGCTACTAATGTAAATATATTCCTTAAGGTGGTCAAAATTGTATTTTTTAGCGAGCGTAACTTGTAAGTATAAACTCCTTGAGAACACAAACAGAGGTCCTTTCAACTGAACATTTTTTTACTCGTGTTCCGAGTTTGATCGAAATCTACAGCCATGTGGAGGTTTGTTTAGATTTTTCTTTCTGAGAAAGTGTTTACAAATAAATTCTGTATAGTTTTAGGAACTGTGCATTGCTGATCGACTCAATATTCCAAACGCCCAGGTATTTATTTCATAATCAAAAACATATAGGTTATGAAAGTGTAGCTATAAATGTAAAACATAAAATCCCAGCTCCCATTTACCCTTTCCGTACCCTCGTTAAGGTGGCTGGACCCCCTCACGCTTGACCGCTACCTTCCACTTTTGGAGCGCTGGTGCATAAACGTGTTTTATCCGATTGCAAATCTTTTTT